AATTTTCAAAAATTGTGTTCTCAAAAATATTTTAATGTTCTTGAGAACACTGAGAACATTAGATATCTAACACTGATGGTAATTATTTATTGGTTTTGACAGGTTATCGGTTTTGACAGGATCGGTTTGGAGAGGGTCGACTGTAGTTGTATTAACAACATAAACAATAAACTCCAAATTCAAATTAAGATATACAAATTGATTTGATAAATTTATTTAATTAAATATAATAGAATATTACAATTGCAATTAATAGCAATTTTTTATCTTTTTGAACCAATTAAAGCTGCAGTTTGAGACCGTAAAATAGAAACATTTCTAATATTTTTTTTATTATAAAATAATCAAAAGTCAATAGGTCTAAATTCAAATTTTAATTAATATTTCATCAGAATTTATTTTACTATATGCTTCATACGTAGTAAAAGTGACATCCATTCCAGCCAAGGGAAAAGATTTAGGCATTAAACTATTATTTAGTAAACCTAATCTATCTAAAGAATCAAATATATCTATTGAGGTAAAAATAGACCCACCAATAAATGAAGAATAAGATAATAAAGGATTTCTTGCAATTCCACTAACAGCAACAGTATTAAATTTTGCAGCTCTTTAAGTCCATGAATTACTTTCTGAAATATTGCTATAGTCTCATCTGTAGTTAATGTATTGGATTGGTCGGTAATTATTTTTACAACACCAAAATCTTGCACTTTATAAAATTCAACAAATTGTTTAACAATTCTTATTGTGGTTACACTTTGGTCTTGTTTTGCTAATATACCATTAGCATTATCGATTATTTTTATAATTTTTCGATGCTTGAGGTTGCAAGATACAGGTTGTTTGCTTCCTTTAAACATTATAAAAATAGGATATTGAATCATTAAACTTATCTAAAATTGAACGAATAGTAAAGCATTCCAGTTTTTTATAACATCGAATTCATTAATGTTATCGCATTTAAGTGTGTAAGTGATATCTGCTTCTCTGGTCTCTCATAACGTATGGCAAAAGATTATTTTACATAAGCATGATCAAGCGCTATATTAAATCGAGCATCAAGATCTCTTGACCAATAAACAGATTTGTTGGCATATTCGGAATACTTGTTGACCATCAATATGAGTTATTTAATGGTCAATAGTGTCATTAAAGACTTTAATTTTTTTTAAAAAAAAACTAAAAACAAAAATAAAAATTGGTAAAAACATACCAAGTGAAATTTAGACAAATGATAAAATAAATTACCTGCTTTCCATTATCAACAACGGAATAAAATGTCACATTTGTATAAAAAACAAATGTCTCAGAGCAATTTGAACTAAATCTCGTGTGAGCATCATTTAAATCATTGAAGAGATATTTACTGTAATATCAATCTATTATAAAAGAAAGTTAGTGTGAAATTCAAATAATAATTAAATTTGTATAAAACGAAAATTGAATGATTACAGTAAAATCATATAAAGTGCAAAAAATTTATTCTGAAAAAGCTTTAATTTAGTTATTAAATCCAGTGGTCTAAAATCAAATACGGGTCGTGAAGGTTCTTTTGCTTTATCCAAAAATGAGGATAACCCACTGATAAGATTGGTTAACTCTGAAATTTTAGCATATAGATATATCATATAATTGATCAGAACACATTGTGTGTACTGGAATTTAATGCATATTATGAATATTATTTTTATATGCATATAGAGATATAAAACCTTTGAAGCAACATCTTTATGAAATGATAACTTTCATAACAATCAATGACATCGCATCGGTATAACTAAAATTAGCTTTCTGTTTTGTAATAAATTTCATTATGAATACTTACACATCCATCAGTAACAGGAACAGGAGCCTCTCGTGAAATTATATAAGATTGAGCATTCAGGACCAAGCAGAATAAGAATGTGAAAAATACTTTAAAGAAATTCATATTTAAATGATTACTAGATTTTTATCGCACTTAAAGTAAATCGACAATCACGTTTCTTAGGGCTTATTTATGTTTACTTATGCAGCCTTCTAGAAATAGTCTAGAAATCTTTCATTTTTTACTTAAATAATAATTTATATTTATGGATAAAGATTTTCTTTTCTGCAAATCTGATAATGTTTCATGCATGTATAATCTGATAATATTTCATACATGTATATAAAATGTAAATGGCTATGTTTAAAGTTTAAATTAATAAAGGTCTTATAAGTTTTAATAACAAAACACAGCCATTTATATTTTCTTACATATTAGCTACAAACAAGGAATATCAGAAATTAATAATGGACCTAAATTTAAATAAAGATTAATTAAAAGGTTACAAAAAAATACAATATTGTATAATCATGTTACTAAAATAGGTCATGAAAGAAAGACAAATATTAAAAAGGATTTAATACTAGTATTTGCTTTCAAAACAATTATTTCTTTTTTAGAGGATATTTTATATTTAAAATTTTAGCACATGATTTATTTGCGTAAATTTTAATGAAGTATACTAGGGAATAGAAATGATTTCTTTATGTAATGCTATTTTTGTTAAGAATTGTGATCTGCTTTCAGGTATCTTGCTATGCATTAATTACAAAATTCAATCGATACGTGTTATTTTACCGATTGAAGAATAGATTAAAGGTGTTCTCAAGCACCTTAATCAAGTGATCGGAAGCAAAATTTTAATTAGTCGGAAATTAAATAAATGAATCAAATGAGTTACCATTCCGATGAC